TGTAATGCAGCTGCCATAAATCAAGTTTACACTTACGTATATAGGTGGGTTTATTTCTTCACTCCCTTTTCAGTTCTGCTGATGTATTTGCCTGTTCCTCTGCTGATACCACCTATCTTAGTACCCATAGCTTTGTAATACCTCTTGATAGCTAGTAGGGGAAATTCTTCAGTATTGTTTTTCACAAGTGCCTTGGCTACTCTTGAATATCTACTTTCCATATAAAATTCTTAAAAAAAAAAAAGAAAAGTTCCTGTTGGGATTTGGTTACAACTGCTAGGTATATTTTTTAATTACCATTTTCTGATTACTGCTTATGTATAGAAACATAGTTGACTTGTTAGTAATTTTGTATCTAGTAACCTGGCTAAATTGCTTTATTAATTTAAATAATTTATTTGCAGATTTTGGAGGGGGCAGTGCTAGGTAGACACAAATATTACCTGCAAATAATGAAAATCTAGTTTCTCCCTTTCCAATCTCTGTATCATTTTATTTTCTCTTGTTTTTCTGTCCTTGCTCAGATTTCCAGTACATGTTGACGAGAAGTGGTGATAGGCATACGTATCTTGTTCATGTTTGTAAAGGAAATATGTTTGTATTTCATCATATTAGCTGTGATGTGCCCTTTATCAGGTGAAGTCTCTTGCTATTTCCAGAAGAGTTTTGGGAGGTTTTTTTGTTTCAGTAATTGTCAATTTTTTTTAAGACTGAATAAACCTTGAAATTTACTTTTTCTTGAGTGATTATATCATTTTTCTTCTTATCTGGTGGGTTGGTGAATTATAGATTTTTCTAGGCTAAATCACTCTTGCATTCCTAGAAAATATTCAGATTAATCAAGATGACTATATTTTCAACATAATGTTGGGTTTGGTATGCTGATGTTTTGTTTAGAAATTGGCCTGTAATTTTTCTCTTGTAATTTCTTTTTCTAGTTTTGAAATTAAAGTTATTCTGGCCCCTTTTGGTGGGATTATTTTTGGAGTCTGACAGCCTATACCTTTTAAATGGAGAGTTCAATCCATTTACAGTTATAATTACTGGTATAATTGACTTTATTTCTACCATCTTATTTTTTTGCACCTTGCGTATTTGTCATACTTTGTTTGAATTAAATGTTTCCCTCTTTTTTTTCTTTGCTGGTTTGGAAGTTATACATTACCTTTTATTGGTTACACTAGAAATCTAAATGCATGCTTAAGGAAGTCTAAAGTTAATTAATATCTTTATTTTTCTCTTAGACAGTATAAAGCTTAAGAATGCTTTGAGTTCACGCATGTTCCATCTTTGCTGTTCAGCCTTTTAGGGGTGTGTGTATTCTTGTGTATATGTTAGGATGGGATTGTGGTTTTGATAACCCCACAAATCAATGTTATTATCACAGTTCTATACAGTCAATGTATAAAACTTGTATTTTCTATTTTTATCTCACACTTTGCTTCTGGGGTTGCTTTCTTAAAGTACACTGTTTAGAAGTTCCCTTTGGTAACAGTCTTTTGTGATAAAGTTTCTCTGTATTCTTCTTTATATATATTTTATTTTTAATCTGGAAATCTGGTTTATTTAATTTCTCTCTTGTTCTTGAAAGGTGGTTTCAATGGATGTATCATTTTCTTACAGCTCTGGCCTCTGGCTTCCATAGCTATTGGAAAGTCATCTGTCTAATTTTTGGTCCTTTATTAGTAATCTGCCTTTTATCTGGCTGCTTTTTAGATCTTCCTTTGATGGTGAGTTCTTCATTTTACTTTGTGTATAGATGTTGGGTTTTTTTTTTTAACCCTTTTTTTTTACTGGTTGTTCTCTGTGCTTCCCACATCTGAAGATTCTTGTCTGTTTTATGTCTGGTTTTTTTCATTATCTCCTTCTGGAACTATGATTAAACAAGCATTTGTTAGACCTCATTTTATCCTCCACATATTTTAACATCTCTCTCACTGTTTTCATTTCTTTGTCTCTGCTTTTTTCTGTATAATTTCTTGAGGACTTTATTCCCAATCACAGGTTCTCTTTTTAACTGTGTCTATTCTATTTAGCTCTTTTGAGCTTTAAATTTAAATTGTTATATTTCTAAATATCTATGTGTGGGTTTTTGTTTTTGTTTTTTAATATTGGACTCATCATTTTTCAGAGTCTCTTACTCCTTTCTCCTTTTTGGCTCCTTTTTAATTTCCTTAAACATACTAAATATTTTATTTTCTTTTCATTGAAATAGAGTTGATTTACAATGTTGTGTTAGTTTCCGGTGTACAGCAGAGTGATACAATTATATAAATACTTATTTCATATTCTGATTTCAGTTATTGCAGTATGTAGATCTTTATGATCTGGCCCTGTTGTTTTGTTGTTTGCTAATTCTGCTGACTCTTGCTTGTGATAGCTTGTTTCCTTGAGGGTGTTACTGGGATTCTCTCTGAGACTTCTATAAGACATAAGACATGGGTTGAGGGAGTATTTCTCCTTGAGATTTGCTTCTGCTTTTTCCATATGTCTGGGAGCACTTCAGCTTTAGACTTGGATCCCCTTTGTAGTAAGATGCTCCCCATGGGGCTTTTTGGACCATGCAGACAGTGTGTAATCAGGCATAAACATGGGTATGGTCAGGCAGAGGCTTCAAAATACCAAGAGAGATGTCCTCCTTCACATCCACTTAGAACCAAGGTCAAGATGGACACTTTTCCATCCTTAACCTTTCTCTGCATTAATTCTCTGTCTTCTAGTTCCTTGCTCTTTGGACCAGCAGCTTGAGCATCACCTGGTAGCTTGCTAAAATGCAGAATCTCAGGTCCTGCCAGATAGATTACTCAGAGTCTGCGTTTTAACATGATCTCCCTAGGTGTCTTATATGCACATTTAAGAATCTTCCAGATCACTCTCTTTTCTCAATGCATGAGCCTCGCTGAGTCCTGGCCTCTAACAGGCTTTTTGTTTTGCTCAGGATGAAAAAACTGTCTTCTCCCTGCTGTCCTGAGAGCTCTGTACCCAAAGCTCTAAGGGAGAAAGACACAGGTCATGTAGTACTTTTAAGTGTTTGTTTATCTTACTGGACTGCTCTGGTAGTTTATCATTTTTTTACTTTTTTAAAATTTCTTCTTCTGATTTAGAAATGTTTTTCTTTCTTTTCTTTCTTTCTTTCTTTCTTTCTTTCTTTCTTTCTTTCTTTCTTTCTTTCTTTCTTTCTTTCTCTTTCTCTCTCTCTCTCTTTCTCTTTTATTTATTTGTTTGTTTACTATAGATATTTTATAGCTATAGTTTTGGCATCTCTCATGTATCAAATTGCCAAAAGCAAAAGTTTGGAGAAGTTTTTTTTTTTAACTTTTTAATGGGGATTCACTCTTTTTTCTTTGCTTTTTCTCCTTCTTTCAGATTATCTTCTTGCCCCTAATGTATTTGTAAACACAACTCTAAATCGGCTTTGGATAAAGCTAAAAAACCTCTTGAAAAAGAAGACATGGGCTTTATGGTGGATTTCCTTACTTTTCAAAAGGAGTGCAGTGCTCCATCTCATCTTGTACTGTGCAGAAATGAGGGGAATTCTTTTCCTCCACATTTTGTCATACTGTTACCTGACTGCAAAAATAGTTCTGTGTATGTTTCCATGGTCTCAGAGTCCCCTGAGAAAACCGGCCTTTCGGCTTTTCCTTTTACCTCTTCCTTCTTTGGCTAAAGTTCCTTCAGAAGTGTCCAGAGCCAGGCTGAGGAACCAATTTCTCACACGTAAAATTTGCTGTTCTTCTCTTTCCCCGAGGTACGCTCATGTTTCTGTTCCTTACCCAGATCCCTTATGCACGTTGACTCCTGCATCCCACAGTTAGGCTCAGGTTATTCATATGCTCTGTGTGTGCACGTAAAGACACACACATTGCTTTATTTCTCTGAACTGCCCTGCAAGATAAGTAGAAATATCCCCATTTTTGAGATTGGAAAACAGAGTGAGTGGGATACATAACCTTCTCAGGGTCCTGTTGCTAGTAGGTGCTGTGGCTGGCGTTGGAACCCACGGGGACTCTAGTGCCCTTAGTTTGTGAGTGTTTTACTTCTCCATTGTGTTACTTGAGGGGAGAGCCAGGCTGCTGTAACAGTCCTGCTGATGGGACAGGTCATTCAGGAATCGATTCTTTTCGTCTTGTTGCTCCACCAGTATCTGTACAGCAGTGCCAGCAGTCAACCCAGATATACTGGTAGTTTTACTAGTTCTTTATATCCTGTGTCAACAAGTGTTCAGTATTTCAAATATCATCCGGACCTGGGTTTGTCCTAATCTGCATGGTGGAAGCTAGGTCACTGCCATGTCCACGTTACAACCTGAGGGACTGAGAAAAGAAATCCAGGGCATTCGGTTTGTTGCAAAATTGAAGTGACCTAGAGTTCGCACACATCATTCTAGTCACCGCTTGGCCCCGCGGCTGCTGGACTGCAAGGCAGGCTGGGACTGTGCTCTCTGATGAGGGGCCTAGTGCTCAGCTGGGTAGCAAGCAGCGTGGGAGCGGGAGTCCTCGAACTAATGGAGGAAGAAGAAAGCGGCTTTGGGAGACAGCTAGCAGCCTCTGCCACATCTTCCTCTTGTCGCCTTTTCAGAAGGTGATTTTGTTCATATTGAACAGAATACTACAAAATACAGCTCTGCCTACCTCATCAGATGACTGTAATGTATTGTCAGCCTGTAGCACGGTGCCTGGCACACACTAGGCATCTGACACATGGTATTGCTTGTATTATTTACAGTTCATATGTCTGCATCATTTAAGGAGCAAAATGTTTAACTTCAGATTTTGTCTACGTTATAATTGGTAGCCAGGGATTTTGTGCCATTTTTATGATTTTGCATAAATACTTGGGAATTTCTGCAGATTTGAAGCATACCACGATTGCTGTTTATGCTAAATATCATTTCAAGCTTTCAATGAAAAGATTTTTTTTTAATTTGCTAAAACAATCAAACCTAAAACAAGAAGTACTAATTTTATTGTTTTGAGTCAAGCCTGAGTGCATAGGAGCAAATGGCTACTGGTACTTATTAAATACTTGCTGGATTACAGGTTTCAAAGTGAGTTATTTAATGTATGACAAAATAGATTTAGTGAGTAATCAAATGCAGAATGCTTAAAAATTTTAGATAGATAAGTTTTTATTTTAATTTGTATAGAATTTCTTATTGGTTCACAGAATTTTTCTCAGCCAATTAGTATCATAAATATGAAGTATTTTATACAAGTGAGTGTATAGATGAGGATACTGTATTCTGTAAATCATTGTCATAGCTTTACTAATACATGCAGTTATGTATTTATTTTCTTAATCCTTGTATTTTATGGACTCTTGCATCTGTGGGAGGAGACTAATTTGCATTACAGTTGGTCATTCAATCAACAGTGTTGCTTGTCACTGAGCTGTGTGTGGTGAAGTTACAAATTCACAGCCTGGTGCACTATTTTGAAATTGTTAGTGCAGTTTGTGTGTGACGTTAACTTTATATAATCTTACAAGCAGGTCTTATGTAAATTCCAAGGTGGCTGTGGAGGGTGTATGTGTATACACAGAGACCTACATACGTACAGACCGATGTGTGTGCATGTATATTTGCATGTGTGTCTATATATATGTGTGTGTGTGTATATATATAATTTTTTAAAGTGAGGGGTAGGTTGATGTGAAGGTTAGAATATAGATAAAATACATGCAATGAAAGAAAATTCTATTGACATGTCATGTTATGAAAAGCTTCCCAGTAATTCTATAATAATAGTAATAGATACAGTATGTCACCATGCAAAATCCTTTGCATGAATTGTGCTATTTAATCTGTTAGTCACCTCATGAAATATATACTGTTTTCTTCAATTTAAAGGGGAGGAAATGAACTTAGAAAGGGTAAA